CCCGGACTCCGCCCCAACCCGGCCGGCCCCTCCCCTACCGGGCCCCGCCCCAAACCACACGTCACCCCGCCCACCTGCCCGCACCGCTGCCTCCCACCCAGGGTGGACCCCCAACCCAGGCCCCGAGCTGCCCTGCCCCTGCCTCCAGCTGGCCTTCCTGGGTCCAACGAGTTGACTCTGGGTCCCCACCAGTAAGGGGTCCCCCGGGGCCCAACTTTACCTGCATGCCCTTCTCCATCTTGGAAGATGGACTGCCAGTCACAGCTGGAGTGCGGCACCCTGCTGTGGCAGGCCCCCCTGGAGGAGACTCCCCGCTCTGCCCAGGGCTCCAGGGTTAGGGCATGTGGGGGCACCTTGGGTTGGGTCCTGAAGAACCTATGGAGTGGGAATGGCAGAATCACCTGGGGAGCAAAGGAAAGACCCCTGGGATGGCTGGGCAGGCCCTAGACTGGCACCGCGAGATGGGGCGGTTCCCAGGGCCGTGCTGGCTGAGGGCAGGGTGGAGGCCATCGTGGGCTCTGCTTGGTGTGGTGACAGCGGTGCCCCAGGGAGCCAACCTGGTGCAGGAGAGAAAGAACGCGGTGGGGGCTTGCTGCTGGGGACCCCAAGACCCAGATAGCACGTGAGCTTGGGAGTATCGTTCCTGGGGCTGCAGAGGGATGCGAGTTTGCATGGACATGGTCACGCACATTGCACACACAGCAGGCCACAGCACACGTGCATGGACGCACCGGGTGCGTGCACACATGCAACACGCACTCACACACAAGCTGCTGGAGAGGTCGGTCAGCTCACAACACCGACTTGGGCCCGGCCCTGCACCCGAGACACGCACATGCACAGCCCCCCTCGGCCAGTGCCGAGACCTGCAGAGCCACAGTGACGCGCGCACTGAATCAGTGCACAGGCCGCGGGCGCGCGCACGCACAGCCGGGGAGTGAAGCCGCCGGATTCCCGGCAGCCGGGCCGCAGTGGGCAGCCTTCCAGGAAGAGCAGGTCAGCCCTGCTGCCCGGAAGAGCCCCACGCGGCCAGGGGCACCTTGTCCTGGGAGCACACCTGTCCGCTGTGGTAGCAGCACCCTCCTCTGGAGCTGAGTGGGGGGGGGGGGCCAGAACCCTGCCCTCTGTGTTGGCTGGGGGCAGCGATGGGAGGGAGACCTAGGGGACTCTGGCATAGACCCAGCTGCACCCCACCGCATTGAGCCAGGTACGGCGATGTGGACCCTAGGAGGCAAATAGCCTCACCGCCCATCGGGACACACCCAGTAGTGGGGTACCAGTAGTGGGGGAGCCGGGAAAGGGGGTCTTCATAGCCCACCCCTGTACAACTGGGGTTCCACTGGGCCCCTGGTTGGCTAGGGCCAGCAGAGGCTGGGAGGGACTCCCTGGCCACCACTGCCCTTGGTCTCGGGAGGACTGGGTGGGCTGACACTGACAGGCTGGGGTCTTGCAGCAGGGGCTGCCGTGTGCTGGCTGGCTCGGCTCCCAAAAGGAGAGGCTTGGCAGCAGGCTGCCCTCTCCCCAAGCGGAGGCCTGGCATCCCCCCCGTCAGCACATCGAGGCCTGCTGGGCCCTCCCACTTGGCCCTGGGCAGGGCTGCAGTTGATGCCTCCCAGAAGCCCTCCTGTAGGTTGGAGTGAGCCTGCGTGTCTCGATGGGCAGGGAGAGCTCCCCAGCTCAGGGTCCACCTGCTGTGCCCACCCCCACACCGTCATAACTGGAGGCCTGGCCTGGGCAGCACCCCCACAGCGGTGTGGTCCCGCCTTCCAGCCTAATCCTCCCTGGCCAAAAGGGTCTGGAGCCCAGGCCTAGCCCCCAGACCCCAGGGTGGGGCCAGAGAACGTGCCCGGGGCATGGGGGCCCGGCTGCATACCGGCCTCTCCTGTGGAAGCGGGTGGCAGCCGCAGGCTGCCGCTCTACCCTGCACTGCCCCTCGGCCCTGGCCCTGCTCAGGGGTCTCAGGCCTGCTCTCAGTCTGACTGAGCTGGAAGCTGGGCACTGGGGCTTGGGGTGCAGGCAGCAACAGACCCTCTCTGTGGGCTCACAGACTCCCCCACAGCCTCTCCAGTGAGTGGGGAAGCCCAGCCACCCAGAACTAGGTTCCCTGCAAGAAGACATGAAGAACTGGGGTGCTCCAGGGGTACCTCAGCTGCCACTGCCCCCCAAGCCCTTTGCATGGAGATGAGGGGCAGACTCCAGTACTACTTCCCCCCCAGCAGAGGGACTGATCCTGGCCCGGGGACTGGTATTCTCTCTCACCCCAGGAACTGAGAACCCCAGAGAGGCAGAACACTGGTGCTTCCTGTGGGGCCAGGGACCCTTCCCTGCCACTCGTCATATGTGTGGGGGTGCTGTGGTGCTCTAGGCGGGTGGGGGTCAGGGGAGCAGCTCCCCCGTCACAGGGGCCCAAGGGGAGACTGGGAGGTGGCGGGCGCTGTCTCCTGACCACATTGCTCCCAGTCCCTATGGGGTCACAGCTGGCGGCGCCACGCACCCCCTTCAACAGGGACCGGCCCCTCGGCTGGTCTGCCCCCGTGGGTGAAGCTGCCTGTGTGCAGCCTGCCTGCCCACCTGGAGGCGGCCTTGGCGGCAGCCTGCCGGCCCAGCGTGCCCGTCATGGCCCCTGGAGCAGGCCCTGCGCCACCCTCCAGGCACCTATCCGGACACCCACAACCACGCAGCCGCGCTGTGCCCACACATGCACTCCTCGAGGGCCTGGTACCTTCTTTCCTGTGTCCAGAGATACCTGAAGTCCTTGGCTTGTGGGCCATCCCCTGTCAGGCCCCTCGAAATCATACCAGGCCCACAAGAGAAGCAGACCCCCTCTCCCCTGCTTGCCACCGAAGCTCGAGGCCTGAAGGGCCTCGTAGGCGGGCAGCAGGGCAGCAGGCGGGCAGCAGGGCAGCAGGTGGCGCCCTGTGCTGCACCTGCAGGGGCCCTCAGCCCCACCCCCAGGCAGCCTCCAGGCAGCTGGTTCCACCCCAGCAACATGCTCCTGCGTGCAGACTTGGGGCCTGGGCCTCAGCTCCCCACTCTTCTGCCCCCGTCCAGCTCCTGGGCCTGCGAGGAACAGGGCATCCTCTGGCCTGGCGATGGGTCAGAGGGGCTGTGCCCCGGCCCCCGCATGTCCTGGACCAGGTGAGCACAGCACCCGGGCTGCTGAGGGCTCCAGGCGGCGAATCCCAGGAACCACCAGAGCCAGCCCCGGGCAGGCAGGTCCTGTGGCCAAACAGCCCCTTCTGTTCCCTCAGCTGTCAGGGACGCTGGGCAGCAGCAGGGGACCCAACCTCCGGCGGCCTCGTTCTGGAGGCCCCTGGGAAAGGGACAGCTCCCCACCGTCCCAGGGAGGAGGGGGCCTGGGCCTCCTCCCTTGCTCACCAGACAGGGACAGGACCCTGCACCCTCCTGAGGAATGGGCACTTTGCTCCATCTGCGCCCCATCTGGAAAGACTGCTGTGTGGAGTTTTGGGGTCCTGGGTAGCCCCCTCAGCAGCAGGGCGGGGAGTGCTGCCAGGAGCCTGGGGCTGCCCATGGTCCCGAGGGCCATCCGGAACAGCCGGCGGGCCAGGCAGAGCCCGGCGGTGGGCGCCAGTGTGGGTTCGGCAGAGCCCAAGTTCTGACTTGTGCCCTGTGAGCCCGCCTGCCAAGAACTGGGCAGGCCCCAGACACGCCGGGCCTGGGACAGGGGCTACAAGGAAACCCCAACCTGCCCTGCAGGGTCCCGTGACAGGCAGCTGCCCTGGAAGCCCGGGTGGGGGTCAGGGGCAGCGGCCAGCCCCGGCAGGCAGCGGGGACAGCCCCAGAGCCGCCCTGGCAGGCTGCCGCCCAGGGGCAGGCTGCCAGGCACACGGCCCGCAGCCGGGCGGGTCGGAGGCTGTGGGAAGGCCGCCGTTGGGGCCAGGCGGCAGCAGAGGGCGGTCGGGAGGAAGTGGCCCCGAGAGATGTGCAGTGGGGGAGGGAGGGCAGGTGGGACCGCGGCCTTGCGTCCGGTCAGCGGGCGCAGGGTTGGGAGGCAGGACCAGGCCGCAGACCTGGGGGTCTGCACCCAAGTTGGGAGGGGCGGTGAGCCACAGGACGGGCCCCACAACAAGAGGCTGAGACGCCGAGAAGCGAAGGGACCTGGGAGGGCGCGGCTCAGTCCACAGCGAGGGGGGAGCCGTGTCCCCTGCGGCTCGAGGCCTCAGTGCGGGCAGCCGCTCTCCCCGCTCGCGGGCGGCCCTCGCCCAGCCGCGGGGAAGCCTCTGCCTCCATGCACACCTGGGCCCTGCACCCTGGGCCTGTCCACACGCCCACGTGACGTGAGCCACGTGGCCTGGACGCCGGTGGCCGGACACCAGTCAGCAGCCGCAGTCCTTCGGGCGCTCAGCTGAGACCCAGCCTCGTACTGCCTGGGACTCAGGACACCAGCCCCCGGCGGGGCCCCCAAAGCAAGGAGGGCGGCCTGGCCCAGCATGTGCCGTGGGGCGGGGGAGCCTGGGGCTCTGCCTCGCGCCCGCCTGGCGGAGCCCCCGCCTCGAGGAGCGTCTTCCACGGGGCAGTGTCGGGCGCATGAGCCACAGCCACAGGAGAGAGGTCCCCTCGGGAGGCAGTGAGGGGAGGGGCGGCCGCACCTGCCCCCAAATCCCACCCGAGAGTGGGGGGCACCTCAGGCCCCAGTACGGAGACGAGGGCCACACACCCCACTCTGCAGGGACAGTTTAATGGAGGCGGTGACATGGGGGCGCAGGGGGTCCCACGCGCCTTCCCGGCCAGCCGGGGCACACGGGGCGGCTGGTCCAGCACGAGAGAGGTGTGGACGCAGCGCTCAGGGGCCGCCCAGCGCTCGCGACTCTTGGGGCGGCACCCACGCTGAAGAGGGAAAGGCCACGAGCCCGTGCGGCAGGCCGTCCACGGGAAAAGCTCAAAAATCCAGAGATCCGAGTATGAAACGTTTACAAAATAAAGCTCAGACATAGTGGGGTTCCCAACATGCTAGTGTCCGACACCCCTGAGGACACAAGCGGGACACACAGGTGCTGACACAGCACACAGCGGGGTCCCCAACACGCCCCAATGGGGCGGCGTGACCGCCGGCAGGGACGCAGGCAGCTGGGCAAGGGCTGGGCGCTGGCGCGCAGGTCAGGCCCCCACCAGGACGCCCGCCACGTGCTCCAGCTCCCCCAGGTCCGGCGGGCAGCTGCAGCCAGGGGGCGAGGAGGCCACTGCGGCAAAGGCCTCCAGCTCTTCTCCAGAGCCCGTGGGGCCGCCGGCCACCCCGGTCAGCACGGCATCCAGGCTGTAGTAGGCACCGTCCACATCTGCGAACAGGTCCCCCACGGAACCGGGGCCTTTACTCCCCAATGTTTCAAATATCTGGTCCAGCGACTTCTGGAAGCTTCCTCTGCTTTCCAGAGGGCTGTCCACCTCCTGGAGGCTGCTGGGCAGGCCCCTCGGAGCCAGGTCCTGCTCATGGCCGGGCCCCTCCCGTGCAGGGCGACACAGGAGGTCCGTGGACAGCAGGCGGTCAGGGGGTGTCTGCCCCAAGCTGGGGGGTGCCCCTGGCCACCCCACGCCGTCATGGGCCATCTCCTCCCGAAGCTGCCGGACCGTGTTGGCGATGAGCACGGAGCGGCACAGGCTGGGCTCCGCCAGCATGTGGCACAGCTGCAGCTTGACCAGAGACATGTCCAGGAGCGACTGCCGCTGCAGGCCATAGGCCAGGCCGCCCCCCGCCTCGCCCTCGCGGTCCCGGCTCTTCCTCTTCAGCCCTCGCGCCAGCATCGCGTCGCTGGAACCAAAGAGGCGCTGTTAGTGCCAGGCCTGGCGGACACCCCGAGGCCACCTCCCTCTGCCCGCAGGAGGGGCGGGCCAGCTCGATGGGCGTGCAAGGGCCAGGGACGCTGTACAGAGGGGGACACAGACCCCCTGGGGGGCCAGGCCTGAGGTGGTACCGCGGCCCGTGACCCGCAGGGTCCCTGCCAGGCTCTCAACAAGAGTTCTCGGGTCTCGTGGCCCGGCTGCCCACCCGGGGCAGGCCCGCCCCTCCCACACCGACCTGGCGTGGCACGGGTGAGCCTGGGGACTGGAGGCCACTGCCAGGCGCCCCAGCAGCCTTCTGCCGCCACCCTGGTGTGCCGTGTGGGACCCCAGCAAGCGGCCACACTGGGGGTGGGGGAGCAGCGCCCGAGGTGCTGTCACCTGCCCCTACTGCCAAGGCAGGCTGCAGCCCTGGGGCCCAGACAAACTGCGCTTCCGAGAGAGGCCAAGGGCAGGAGGCGCCTCCGTGGGAAGGCACCAACCCCACCCTGCAGGGCAGGTGTGCCAGCGCTGACCACTCTGAAAGGGCCATCACCAGCCTTGCCCCCGGTGCTACCTGCGTGCCCTGGGTGCCCAGCACCAGAAGAGGGGCAGGAGGAGGCCTGTCCTGGCAAACTGTCCAGCAGGACGTTTCCCTGGTGGTCCTCTTTTGGGGACAGTGAGCTTTAGAAATGTCCAGCTCAGTGATCCCTGGCAGCTGATGGCACCGGCCAGCTCCTCCTCTGCCCACATCTATCGTGATGTCAGCCTGCCCTGGCCCGGGCAGCGCCCCCCAGCTTCTGCCCAGGTGGGCACTTGCTCCCTGCTGAGCTGATGGAGAAGCCGGTCACTGTGCGGCAGGGAGGGCGCAGCAAGATGCGGTCACGGTCCTCAAAGCCATTCGAGGGGGGTCCTGCTCCCCTGCCAGCTGCTGAGGAGGCGGGCCCCAATCCCCGGCGGGCCCCAAGCCCCAGCGCCCCCCAATCTCCAGCCCCCGGGGCTCCTGGCACGGCAGCCCTGCTGGCCCTTCTGCGAGGGCCACCAGCCAAACCCTCTCGCTAAAAGACCGAAAATTCCAGCGCTGCGAGGGGCAGTGGTCCCCGGACACCAGCTGCGCCCGGCGGGAGGACGAGTGAGGCGGCCGCGAGGGCTGCCCACCCCTGCCGGCAGAGGCTGCAGGCCGGGCGCCCCCAGGCGTGCGGGTGGGCCCGGTGTGCCCCGGGGCGGCCGGAGGTGCCGCGCTGCCTAGTTCCGGCCTCCCCTCGCCGCGGCTCAACAATCCCCGACACTGTCCTCGCGGAGAAAGGGGCGTCGCCACCGCGGGGAAGCCGCGGGAAGCGCTTTCCAGCGCCCTACACAGGGCGC